TTGTGAAAAATTTACATCATTAGGTCAAGCAATCTAATTTATCTTGAGAACAGGGGGTGCTGATATGTCCTGGAACTAAATTCTTACACGAATAAGAGACAGGGATAATATTTCCTATTCTGGTTTGAAATAAAAAACCACCTGTATTCTATAGCGTCATAAACATCTTTGAATGGCCTTTTTTTCCTGAAAATTAAAAAAAAATATATTTCATGTGATTTTCAAGTAAGACTACAGAGGAACAGCTCAGAATGCAGTGACACCTAATGGCAAAGCTATCTTTATAGGCCATAAATGTATTTTCTAATAAACATTGTACTTGCAGTAAAACTAAGTATTGCTACTCACCAATATGCTGCCTATAATCTGAAATAGCATGAAGATCCAAAGCATAAAAGTATGCCAAATACTTTAATTTTTAATAGTAAAATAACATATACAACTGAAGGAAGGGGGAAAAAAAGCTTCTAGATTAGAAAGTCTGGTTTTAAAATTACAGTACCCTTTGAGATAAAATTACAATATGATAAACTTAACCTCAGAAATTAGAATTAAATATAATGCATCTTCCATTACTCCTAACAGTCTCAACTGGTTTCTACTATTTAATAAGTCAAAAGTTAATCACCTTGATTTTTATTCATATTTGAATTAAAATTTATAGGAGATATTTACTGGGTGTACTCTTCACTTGGAGTAGAAAGCAAAGGTCCTTAGTGTAATGGCTTATTAGTCATGTCACAGTTGATACTGTTGATTAATAACATTGTCTAACTTAATGTACATCTGAATTATGCTTCAAATAACTGTATTAATGACACAGAAAGGAACAACAGCAAGAAATACCCTTATTTTAAATTCAGAAATTACTTGTTCCTACGTTCTATAAGTTTACATTATATGTTATCCATAACTTAGGGAGCAAACAATTACTGTAAATCATAAAGGGACAATTTAAATTTTTGAGATATATAGTGCAAAGAGTCCTTGGTGACTCCTGGGGGTTATTATATCCAAAGCAAATTATGTAAAGATTTGAAAAAGAAACATTTTGGTACACTGTATATTTGATATAATAGTCCTCAATGCAGAAATCATGAAAACAATTGCTTTAAATCTGTCACCTATTATTGTTTTTAATGTGGTGACATTTTATTCACCCACCAGTTTTATACTTTAATTTGAATTTTCTTGTGATGAAAATACATTGTGAATTGTCTTAGGCTTCTCAAATATATCAAAGTTAATGATTATGATATCAGAGGATAAAGTATCATTCACTTATAAGAAAAACATAAATAATGGTTTGTTTCTATTCCCTGTTGGCATAAGGTATTTTACTGTGACTAATAACAACAAAAACCTGTGAGTGATTTTTGTAATATATGATGAAGTACACTAACCATTTGAGTGCAACCCTGTAGAGATACATAACTTAGGATAGCTCAGTCCAATCAGTTCTGTGAACCCAGGAACCAGATAAAGAAATGAGCATACATTAAACTGTTAAAACATGAGATCCTCCATATTAGATTTGAAGCAAAACACAAACTGTGCAGTTGACTGGAAATGCCACCTAATCCCTGCTTAATTAAAGCAGTGCTCTACACTCCTGTTGTGTTTAGGGAGTAAAGAGTGTGGAGCGACTGATGTATGAAGAAAATAGCAGTCAGCGTGGCTAATCTCAAAGACTTTCGAGCTTTCTAGCTACATAAATCAGAGCGACTTTTGAATAGCCTCATAAAACACAGTATCATTGCCATTCCACTCACGATTTTTTGGTTCTTCCTACAGCATGCAGATCATTAGGAAACTTCTAAGCAATCAAGTAATGTGGGTCTAATGAAATTACTCAATCAATGCACAGGCTCAAAGCAAAAGCATAACTCAAAACTGCAGTTTTTATATGTCAAAAGACCTTTCTTTTGGGGGGGGGCAAAGAATATCACAATTGAGGTAATTCATTTCTAAACACTGTGTGTTAATGTAGTTTACAGAAACATATATAATTATCAAATTATCTTTAAAATGTACTTTAACAGAAACCCAAAGTAATCATGTATGATATTAGTGCATTTTTGACTGAAATGAACACACTGCCACTTCAATCACTGGAGTTTAAACATTATGATATATTTCATCATTGTAGTGATCTCATGAGCTTAATAAAACATATTAGAGTTTAAAATATGTACTCAACTTTAAAAAACTACCTGCATGAAATAAAAACAAACAGAAAGAAAGAATGAAGAGAGTTTTCATACACAGAATTCTGTTCACTAGCAGAAAGATTCAATATGTAAAGATCCTATTAGAACAGTGTCTTTTTTTTCTTTTTCTGTTTTTTTAATCTTTCCAGCTTGCCTGAACAATTATATTGCAGCTGCTTTCTACCTGAACACACCACACGAGGCTAGGAAAACCTCTCATTTCTGCATATCTCCTTATAACTCAAGAGTTGAAAAATTCACCTTCCCTTCTGTTTCATCACTTTCATCCCTTTTAATCCTACAATAATGATTAGCCATAAGAATATTTCTCCCATTAAACATTTAAATGAAGGCAATCACCTCCTAAAGATAATTAATTCTCTTTTCCAATCAACCAGGTAAACTGAGCCAGTGAATATTAACTGATGGCTTAAAACTTTAATAGGGGAATTCAGTTTTGAATTTTTTATACTTTGGCTGGGATGGGGGTTGAGGAGGGAGAGGCTTTTAACCTCTAATATGCACACAAATTATTCTTGGCCATTTTTTTTTAATTTGAGAAATAACATTTATCAGTATACTATAAAAGATATTTGAAACAATTATCAATTTCCTAGCTTCATGGCAATATTAGACAGCCTATAAAAGAAGCTAATCCTCTTGCCTAATGCACTAATTTCATTCAAGTCAAATTGTCTGATAAGTACTCCTTTTAGTAAGATACACACAGTTCATGCATACAACCAGCTTTCTAAGGAAATCTGTAATCTGTACACAGTTACCTTTTTTTTTTTTTTTTGGTTAGGTTATAAATAAGTAACCCATGTCACACTGACAGACAACAGAATGCAAAGGAAAAAAATACAACAGTTGTGTTCTATTTAGAAACAAATGATCACACTGTATTGCAAAATAATATTCATCTGGTAAAAGACAGCAAGGGCTGTAGGTGTTTGCAAATATATTTATCCTGTAGACCACAGAATAAGCAATAAAAGAAGCATTTATCCACAAGACTTCTCTCCTGAGCAATGAGGAGCATAAGGCATGAACCTCTAATCACAAAATGAATGTAAAGGTACCATGGTAGTGTATATTTGCATCCTGCTCCAATCATTTACAGTTGGACACAAATGTATGTCATTTCTTTTAAGAGGGGCACAGATCATTTCTGAATTCTATCAGAACATGACTGAACCCATCAACGAGACCATAATTTCTCCCTGAAAAGTTCTGAACCCACAGGTCCTGTTAGCCCCCAGGCAAAACGGGATCTAGCAACCAAGCTATCTAGTGCTTAATTTACTTAACGCGTAAGTGCGAGGTATTGTGAATCCTGACCTCATTACCCCTTGCACAGAGACATATATGGTTCTATTGATATATATGACAGAGAATGGCAGACATGTTTACAAAGACAGCCTCTGAGACCAAAAGAGGGAGTCCCCCGGAGCTGAGGGGCTGGCTGCTGTGGAGGCATACATCAGACAGCAGCCCTTCGCTTGGGCAGGCACAACAGCCACCTGAAGCAGGCTCCCCTTCCAGGACTCGTGTGTGCGTGCGTGCGTGCGTGTGTGTGTGTGTGTGTTGAGCAGGGGAGGGAAGCAGGAGGGCGAAAAGAGGAGATGCTGAGACCCATCTGTCGCTTCGATTTGAAGCACATAAAGCCGTGTGGACAGATAAAAGTCCCGTGCCCAGAAAATTTCCCCAAGAGGGGTGTCTCTTCATCCCAGTCAGTGAACCTTGCTGGCCCGCGGACGCGGATTTCCGAAAAGGAAATCGTCGCATTCTCGCAGAAAAGGCTGCAGGAGCCCGTCTCCACGCGGCTCTCACGGATTAGCAAGTGAGAAGAGTTGGAGCCTGAAGCCGCGAGCGCCGTGCATGATAATGACGCGCGGCCCCCGCCCGCCCCCGCCCGCGCCCGCCGCGGCCAGTCCCGGCCCGTCTGGCTGCCAATAGGTGGGGCCACGAGCGTCTCCCAGGCGGCTCGGCGTCCTTCCCGGAGTCAGGCCGCCCGGCCGCAGCCCTAACGCCCGTGCTCCCGGCCTGGCGCGGCCCCTCAGAGCGGACCGCGCGGCGCGGCGAGGCCGGGGTCTGCAAGGCAGCCCCCGGGGGCCGCCCGGCCGGGGCGGTGTGCGCGAAGCGGCTCAGCGCGCCGCTCCCGCTCCTCGGCTACACCGCCGCCAGCCCCTCCCGCCCGCGTCGCGGCGACTCTGCGCGTGGACCGCAAAGCCCAGAGGAGGCTGGGGGCGCAGCCGGCACCCCGTCCCCTTCGCACAACGCTGCGGCTACCGCAGCCCGCTCACGTTGCAAAACCACCTGTGCGATCCGGAGGGAGCTGCCCCCACCCTCACCCCAGTTTTCGCCTCACAGGTGACACCTCTTCTTTTCCCCCCAAAGATAATTTTTTTTTTTTTTTTAGCGGAGCAAATGCACATCCGGGAAGGAATATGGAAGGTAGAGTCGATTAAACTTCCTTTCTCCGCACACTTAGAACCCACCCCCCGCACTTGCCGACACACACGCACTACTGAGGCAAACTCGAGACCCCCACGCACCCAGCACAACACTTCCACGATTCACCGTGCAACAACGGCCCGAGTCTGGGGTCGAACGTCCACATGCTGCCAGAACACTGAACAAGTGTGCGGGAGGGTTAGCGGGAAGGCGCGAGAAACCGAAGCCGGCGCCAGCGAGCCACGCTTAAGGGCGGACAGGGGGAGGCAAGGGGAAACGTTTGCCGACCCAAACGTGAAAAAGTACCCACAGGCAATACCTGCCCTTTCTTACCGATGTGAATGATTGAATCCGCATTCGCCGAGTCCCAGGTTCGAGACCACCAGACGGACAAAACCAAGAGCAAGGGGAAAACTTCCATCTCCTCCTATGCTGAATCTCTTTCAGGATGGATTTTCTTTCGATCTATTTTTTTAAACCAGTCCGACGAGTTTGAGGTCACGACAGAGTTTAGCGCAGCTTTTTCTTTTTCTTTTTTTTCCTCTAAATTCCTATGCCAGAGCAAAGCCTTTAGTCGTCGCTGATGAAGGCAGAGCGAATAAGAGAAGAGCCCAGCCTGAGGAAACCTCCTTCGCAGAGCCGTGTCACTTGGAGGGGAATTTTGGCATCGCCAGAGTTGTTTGCAGTTTGGCTTTTAAAAAACGTATCCAGCCTCGGCTGCTCTCGGGCAGGGGGGGAGGCTGGAGCTCAGACCATCCCCATCGCTGCGCCGGGGCCGCGGGTCTCCAGTCCCAGCTCCGCCGCAACTTCCAACAGACCCCCCCCCCCCACCTACGCCGGATGTTCCCCTCCCCCTCCCCCAACCAAAAAAAAAAAAGGCGCCCCCCCGCCCCCGCCCCAACAGCCCGCAGAGAATCTCTTGTCTTCGCTGCCAAAATAAAATATAAGTGGAAAGGAAAGATTAGGAGATTCCAAGCGGAGCAGCCAGATTCCAGCAGGGAAGGGGGGAAAAAGCCCTCTCCAAGAGGGGTAGTAAAAGTGAACTTCAAGGTAATGCAGATAGTAATGCAGAGAAAATTCCTTTTCTGCGCGAGGCGGGGAGCAGAGCTCGGCGAGGCGGGCCCGGGGAGCCGGTTCGCTCGGGCGCGGTGGCGGGGGAGTTGCGCCGGGCGCGAGCAGCGGGGCCGGGCCGGCGGAGGGAAGCCTGCAGGCTGCAGGATGCTTTTGGAGCGGTTCGCCCGGCGGGATGCAGAGAGCGAGCAAGGAGCGAGCCTGGCAGCTTCAGCACTAGCCCCACGTTGCCTAGAAATGGATCACCTAGGAGAACGAGCGAGCCCGCGAGAGAGCGGTGCTGTCAGGCGGAGAGAGGGGGAACCGAGAGAGGAAGAGCTTCTCTCTAATAACCACCTCCTCCCCCTATCTGCAATACAAGGGAGAAACAAAATAGTGCTCTCATTTCCCTTGGAATCTTCAACTGGGACTGAGAAAAAGGCAGGACTCCAGGAGGAAAAACGTTGAAGCCCTTTTGTTTTTTGGTTTTTTTTTTTACGAGGTTAAAGACAACCTGAAAAAGCCACCCCACTTATTTAACCTTGCTGTTGCTATTCTCCAACAGGTATCAGACTTTTTCTAGTCTTTGCCTGGAATTAGCCACATTGGATAAGAACAAATTAGGGACACCTGGTCACTAAGGGAAAAGGAGACCTAGAAAGCCTTTAATGAGATTTCAATTATAAAGTTATAAAAAGGAGAGGACGTGCTAATTACTTTTTATACAGTGATTTTCCCCCTCTCTCTCTCCTGAGTATTTTTAAGCAATCAGAACAGAGAAAGAATAAAGAAGAACTCGAAATAAAAAATATAATAATTAAAATACATGCTTCAGTGAAAACTTGATCCAAATATTACATTGAGTAGCTCTGACAACGGACCTATATATATAAATTCAGAATGAGGAAGTTGGTTGCTTCTCCATGAAAAGAGCTGAAAAAGTACTGAATGACACCTCCCAGTCCCAGAATGAAAGAATTTTCTGCATGCTTATTCCTTGAAATAAAATCATGACAACTGTGAGTTGCTTTCTTGAATGATTATCATATCCAATCACACCTCACTTTAGACTGAAGGTTGGTTAATGCAAACAAATAACTTGAGGACAGATATTAAGAGGCCTGATATTATTTCCGTTTTAATTACAATCTGTCGGAAATGTGCAGATGTCAAACTCCTTAATCTTTCGGAGCCTACCTACATATTTGGCGAACCTCTTTTCTTTTTTTTTTTTTTTATTTTTGAGAGAGAAATGGAGAGCATGACTGGGGGAAGGGCAAAGAGCAGAGAGAGACACTGAGCCACCCAGGCACCCCAAACGTCTTTTCTTCTTACATGAGACTACCAGCCTGGTGAACTGGGCTAGTATTTCTCTAAACACAATTGTTACGTTCTCACCCCTGCAAAATGCCTTCTTGCATTCATCTTTCGTACTTTTTCCCTGAACATTCCAGGAAACGTACTGCCATATTGTTACTTTGGGCAGTAATTTTGTTGGAAGATATCTATTCATCTTCCCAACCACTCTCCTCTGCCATTTCAAGGCTTAGTTCAAATTTTGCCCATGAAGTCATGTCCAGTCTTTTATTTTGGAATAAATCCATCCCTTCTTCTGTTTTCTCATAGCATACTCTACCTTTATATGAGTTAGATGGGACTACGTCTGAATTACTCAGGGCATTACATCAATGACCTGAGAGTGAAGATCATAGTTTATTCATGTTTTGTTCACTGCAGCATTTTACATAGAGCCCCTTTGTTGACTTGGATATCATCACTTCCTTCTGAATCTGGCATAAATCAGTGCGTCGAAGAAGCCATCACTGATTAATTTGTCTCAATTTTGATCATTCCTTCATCTTTATTTTTCCTATTAGTACACATGTTCTCAACATTGTTTTAATGTTATTGATATCATTTTCCTTTTTAAAGGTTCTGTTGTGATTTCACAGATCATATTCTGTTTTTGAAAAAATAGACATATCTCTCCATAGCTTGCTTCTATTATACTATTCTCAAGGGTGTTTAAAAAATTGATGAGTCACTGTGTGCTCTATGAAGAAAAAAAATGTGAAATAACCATTAACATGGAAAGAACACTATAGTGTCTTAGAATCAAAGAACTAGGAGGAACTTCAAAACATTAGCTGACTCAGTCCTGGTTTAATAAATGTCATTCCTGGAGACAGCTAAATACAGTCAATTCATCTTATCTTCTATCTTGGAAATCCATTCTAGGGTATTATGAGCCAAACATTTTCATTATTCCCAAATCCTCCCATTTATTGGTTCTTAAAGGCAACTTTACTTTGGAATAACCTGGAAAGCTTTTCAAAAAGGTCAATTCAGGCTAATTTAATCAAAATCCCTGGGGTTTGAGGCCTGACCAATATGTTTTAAATCCTCCAAATAGGACGCTAATGTGTAGCCATACCTCAGAACTACTATTACAGTACTCAAACATTTCAGAGTCTGAGTGGCACATCACAAAAATCATAAAGTCGTTAAAATGCCCATTCCTGACAGTCAGAAGAGATAAAGTACCATGAGATGTAGCTTTCCAAAAGTAACAAAGTTAACGCAAAGTTAAAGCCTAACAGTGGCTTATCCATTTTAAACTTAAGAATATCAATCAATTCTTTGACTATTTTTATAATTTCTATACCCAATGAGTCCTAAAGTAGTTTTTGTATGAAATATGAGTTTAAACACATTTTTAATTATGTGTTAACCATATTTCCTACTATTTTATTGTTCTTCCACAAAAATAATCACCATTCTTTACATCATAAAGATGTTATTGTGATATAGTTAAATATATACAAAATTAGTTTAATTTGGTGATATAGTTAAATATATACAAAATTAGTTTAATTAGCTGGATTCAAAGTTCCATATTGTATAAGTTAGATGTTATATTCCAGAGGGGGAAAGTAAATTCAAGGGTTGTACTTTCATTTTGGCTTTTTTATGAAGGCTATCTATTAGTCTAATTAAGTCTATTTAGCTTTAATTCAAGCATTATCATATAAAAATGGCTTGGATGGAAATTGAAGACTATGACATTCTAGTATATTTGAAAGAAACCACTTCCATTCACTAAAGTTTTCACCAATAATTAATTTTGGAAGAAAAATGTAAGGGAATCATGAATCACATATTTATTCTTCCTATGTGGACACAATTCAATTTAGGCATTATGAACACCAATACAGTAATCTCCCCTTATCCACTGTTTCACTTTCCACAGTCTCAGTTACCCACAGTCAACCATGATCTGGAAGCAGAAGAGCAACCTTTTGTATCATCAGAAGATCAATAACAGCCTAATGCTACATCACAGTGTTTGTATCATTCATGTCATCTCCTCTCATCACATAGACATTTTATCATATTATGTCATCATTAGGAAAAGCATTAGAACATGTTATTATAGATATTTTGAGAGGGAGGGACCACATTCATACACTGTCTATTACAATATATCGTCATAGTTGTTCTATTTTATTATTGTTGCTGTTAATCTGCTTCTGTGCCTAATTTATGTACTAAGCTTTGTTGTAGGTATATAGTAGCAATAAAACTAGTATATATAAGGTTCGGTACTAGCCATGTATTTGGTATCCAGAGTGGGTTTTCGAATACATCCCCTGTGAATAAGGGGAGACAACTATAATTTCAAGAACTGGTAAATAATCTGAGCAGCTTTATGATGTAAAGAATGGTGATTATTTTTGTGGAAGAACAGATTTGAGATTTGGGGAGAAATATTAATTTGCATTTTGGGAGGGGATATGCAGGCTCTTTTAATCATTTACAATGTATATGTATGAAGAAGACAATATAATGGAAATCCTTGGAATATTTATTCTTTGATTTTCACCTTAAACATATACTAAGAATATCAATGTCTAAACTTTAAAAATCAGCTGCTCACTCAATGTTACAATGGCAGTAAGGCAACTTACCTTAGTCAATTTTAAAGAACTTCAACAATATTCAATACTCAAGAGATTTGTTTTGGTATAAAAATATAAATTTATGGGACAGCCTTCTTGAAAATTAGAGAGAAAAGTTAACTTTGAAAAGAAGGTCAGAGAAAAAAATAGAATGTAATACATTTTGATCATTTTTTTCTAATTTGCTACAATTGTATCAGTTGTGTTAGTATTAAAAATAATTAGTCACACAAATGATTCTAAGTATATTACAACTTAAAATAATATGAATATGAAAGGAAAACTATGAGAGGACAGTGCCTGACCACCTGCATATACAGGCAATAACAAATTATGGCTGTAAATCTATAATTAAGATGTTCATTTGTAATAGAAAAAAACAAATTCTTTTTGTTTGAAGGGCTGAAAAGGC